AATTAATTGTCTTGGATTAATCGATCGATTGAGTTAGTCCATTCTGCTTAGAAGTGACACTGAGAACAGAAAACCCGAGAAATTTTCCACTATTAAATAAATTCACTAGCAAACAAAAAAGATAAAGGAAGTATTCTGAGTGCGACCGTGTGAATTTGCCAGTCTGTGAGCGCAACGAAAAATCATATGGAATGCGGTATTTGGATGGGGCATATCATTAACATCACAATGAAACAGGATATGAGACAGCTACTAACTATTATTCAGATACAGGATTTCATCTGAAAGATAAAGGCCGCTTACTCGATTGTGTAAAAATATTTTCCAATCTATCTGGAAGTGTGGTTCACTCCTCAAGGGCTTACGATTTGCCTGATCGAATACGGATCCCAAATAAATTGCGGTCTTTACACACATGGCATGGACTTTTGAGGACTCTAGGCTCCTTGGACATTGATCTCCCAGGAGTCGATCGCCGAACTATTTGTGTAATTTGTGATACATCCTAAGTGTCAACTCAAAATATCACAGAATAAGTCATAAGGATGAATTTGGTTGAAACAGACAGAAGTGCTGAGGGAAACAGTTAAATAAATCCATCACAGTTCTAATAACTGTGGTTAAAAGTTTTCGAAACGAGAACACATTGGAGCGTGAATATTCGTTTCGTTGGAGAACAGAAGAAACGAGGGAAACGGTGTTTCATCAACGATCTGAAAGCTGATAATTATTAGTGAAACAACCAGTGGAACAGTGGGTTGGTAGTGAGGAGATTCGGACTCATGTTCTATTGATCATTACCAAAAGATGTGACTAAGAAAAGCATTGCCTCGACGAGAAAAGTCAAATACAGTAATATGAATAAGACGAAATTTTCTTTCCAATTGTAGGCCAAAAGAAAGATTGACACAGTGGAAAAGGAGTCCTCAGAGGAATAGATCACGATGTGGCTAATTGGAACTTACTTAGTACTTGTTGTGGCGAATCACCGGTCAACGTGTCACCACGATGAAGATATCGAGAAGTCGGACGCACGGCGTCTGGGAGAATAATCGGTTCATGACCGTCTGGAATGACAGAAACAGTCAAAACAACGGTTCACACAAAACACCAAAGAGAAGATATTCCAGTAGTTCAGTAGGGGAAAAACACTACGCGGATAAAACATAAGAACAAACATTTGTAACCTAGAGCACCATGGGTGCAAGTGCAGGTCAGCATCTGTTTACATCTGGAGTAAGGAACTAGGCTTTTAACCAGATGATTCACGATTCGAATCACGGCATGGGTGAAAAGATGGTACGCACCGCAGATAAGTCCCAACAAGGATGAAAAGGCTATCCAAAGTTCCTGGTTGGCCTCCACGCAACAGTGGTAACAATTATTTGTCAAAGATAGCTGACACTTTGAATCCTATTTTTGGTTGAACTTTTGCTGATGGAGAAGAACATGTCAACTGAGCTACACATCTAGTACATAACTACTCCCCACGTTCTATGAGTTTTAGTAGCTTTGATATATTAAACCAGGAAGTCATATATTCAGTTGGGACAATGCGAGTTAAATGAGCATGGAAACCTTGAACAAGTCAGTCGGTCAGTTTTCAGCCTGTCAGCTGTCCTATTGAGTTTTATCATGCACGTCAATCGAAATCCCCATGCTTAGATAGCCAGTTATCAAAACCAAACACATGGTAGAGTGATCCAATAGGCTGTACTAACATAGCATGGGAACACTTCAGACGTTTATTGCATAACTGAATTCAGTCCTGTTCCGATCAGCTTGATTTCTGCTCAAAGCGAGCAAGCATTACACTCGGTCGATCAAATGAGATAACAAGCATGCACTCAAACTTCTGTTCCCGTCTCGGGCCTAGCCCAATTATTATTCAGTAATAATATTCATAAAAACCCCAGAAGAATGTACTGTACTGATTTGAACAGTGGCCAATCTATGAAAGAAATACGCCAAGATGTTGCAAAATGATAAGGAGACCGTATTAGGGAAAGTTAATGGAGAGTTTCGAAAGATTTATTGACAGAAATGGGTGCCTTGTAACTAGGAAAATCGCCTTCAAGACCCCAGCTCCATTATCCGATTGACCTCCCTATAAACCGAGTCTGCGAGATCTCTGTTTGGAGACCTTGAAGCTGCGGCTTCTGGTTTGGTTGGCGTAGCTCTCAGTGAGAGAGCTGAAGCCGCGATCCTAGACTGGCTTCCAGTCGACAGTAGGTTGTGTGCAATGAGACTCATAGGTTCATGCAAAGTAAGAAGCTATCACCCTGACAGACGAAACCTGTTTGTCGCATCGGCATACGTCCCTACGGACTGCAGTCCAGATTCAGACCAAGACGTATTTCCTAAGAACTGTGACTTTGCGCGTAAAGTGAGTCGCTATTTTAAAATACACCAGCTGTGTTCGAGCGAGGCGCATCTGGGAGGTCCTTTCGGACTAGATTCCTGTCTCTCAAGAAACGAGGAACAGCCGTTGGCTCTATGTTCCGACCACCGCCTATTCCTCGCCAGTATGAACTTCAAACGATCCAACTGCCGGTACACCACTTGACGTCCACCTTTGGGCAGAGGTGAACGCAAATCGACTACATCGATATAAGCCAAAAATAGCGGGACTGCATGCAAAACTGCTGATCATACTTCAGCACTTCTCTCGAATCCGATCAAGCATTAGCTTGCACCAAGCTGTCATTGCGCTTCGGAGGGCGTTTTTAACGCAGGACACAGGGACTGTGAAACTGTGATAAGTTGTCGCAATCAGTTTGTCTGTCTTTTAAAACGCACGAGCGGAAAATATGGAACCAACTCCATTCGACTCATAACGAGACAACCTCTACGCAAGTCTACACAGAGACGGCGTAACTCGGTGGTCTGAACGCGCATCGGAGATGGGACATGCTGCTATTTGAAATTCCCGTAATCTCTTCCACCTCCTTCGAGTCACCAATTGGAAAGCTTGGGGTGTAAGCGAAACAATGCACGAAGCTGACGGCTGGCTTGTTCACAATCAACTTCTTGCACGTTGGGTGGNGGAGCACTTAGAAGCATGATATAGCTGGCGACCAGCATCAGCTTCTCGCACGGCTAATCCAACACACGACCCATGGCGTCTTTCTGTCTCTCACCAGACCCAACTTCTGAGGCGGAAAGCTGCAGGGAGATCCAAACCTTGGGACATCACAAAGAGTCGAAATCCAATGGCTTTCTCTCAGCTGTATGGAAAAGTTATTGGAATAAAGTTTGTTGGGGAATTAATGGCCCTGTTTCTTGAAGTTGGAGTCAACGGGCTAGTCCCCCTCTCATAAGGAGGGATCGATTGTTGTTGTAATCTTGAAAAAAGGTCCGCGCAATGTTTGCGTCATTTACACGGGGATAAGCCTGATCCCGATAGCTCCAAAGCTTTTGGCGTGTCACTTTCCGCAGATCGAGCAATATGCGTGGAGAGCAGACTAACGCGATGCCGACTGGGTTTCACGCCGGTCGTGAATTCATCGATCAAATCTTTACGTTCCGACAGTTGCTAGGGCACTGCTATACTTATCAGAGATCAGCGATCAGTGTCCTTAGGCATATGCGCTGCCTCCGACCATATTGATAAGAACTGTTGATTTAAAAATGGAGTACCTGAGAGGTGTGTTGACCCTCAGAGAGTTGCATCGTCATATCTCAAGCCACGTTACGACTTACGACCAGCTATCGCCACCCCGGTCTAGCAAACGGTGGAGCTTGTCTCCCCCTTCAGAAAATAGGGTTTTTGACTTATTATATACCAAAATTGACTAGCTCGATGACAATACACAAACAGTCCAGCGCGCCTTTAACGTTTCGCTAATCGAGGTATGACATGCACTTTGAACCATCCAAATGCGAAATGCTTGTTCAAGCATGGAAGAAGCCTGTATCTGCACTCAGTCTCTGATTCGCTGAAAGAAGTTGAAAGCTTTAACTACCTCGGAAGCTTGGGGCAGTGTTGGAGACGAGATCACATCAAGAATAGCAAAAGCTAGAGCAATTTTATTAACCTGCGACACCTGTGGTGCCGCGGTTCGTAGTGGACCAGAATAGAAGTCAGTGGTGCGAATGCTGTACCCCAATTGTTCATCCGTTATTATTGTTAGAAAGTTGGCAACAGACTTCTTCGCAAACCGGTGATATAAAAATATTTCACAATAAGTAGTATGTGAATGATTTGACAAAATTGCCCTGGAAGCACACGACCGGTTTCGCGGTTCTTGTCGCTCCTCAGGCCTGCGTATCCGGTACAAATACAAGTATATGAATGAACTGGCGGAAGATTATCGGATACGCATGCCTGACGAGCGGCAAGAACCGCGAAACCGATCGTGTGCTTCTAAGGAAATTTTGTCCAGTCATCTACACACTACTAATTATCAAATATTCTACCAAGACCGTCAGGTCACGTTTGTTGCGGTTAGTAGCATCTAACCCAATTACAAAACATCGAATCATCGCACTGATTCTTCATTCGACTAGCTGTGAAAGAGCTGTAAATCCAATGGTCACCCGGTGTTGCAAACAAGGTTTCATAATAACAAAATGAGGATACAAAAATCAGCCATGGCTAGTAGTTTGTTTCGCAGCAACAAGTGAATAATTAGTTAGGCCAAGAAAGCAATGGAAAAGGTGTACTACCCTTTCAACAAACGATAAGCAACGTGAGGGTTGCTATAGGTGAAAAATCATTAACCGGCAACAGCACTGTCCGATTAGTTGTGCTGAACAAGCTCAACATAGCACGCACCAAGTGTTAATAAAAAGTTGGGTTAATCGGGAACTCACCTGCGCACTGCTCATCTTCCAAATTCGTTGTAGGACTGGAACCCAAAGTCTGCAAGAAAAAGGAGGACACGAAGCAATCATTAGAAAACAATCACAAAATAGCTGGCGTCATTATTCTATGTGTTTGGTCAACAAAAATGGTCAGCACGGTTAATAAGAGACGGTGGGGGGTGGGGTGGGATGGTAAGACACAGGTAGGCACCAAATTAGGGTGTTTGCCGTTTGTTTTGTAATAGAGAAACGACACAACCGCATAATTTCCGATGAACCAGGTAAGAACGCATTGAGTTGCACCCAGAGCCGAAATCGCCCGAGATACTCAGGCAGGTAGGCGGTCATGAGAGATAAAGCCAGGGACGTGTGAGTGGGGAAAGCTCGATCTGAGAGCCCAACTCACATAACTATACATGGTATGACGGAAGGACGTGTGTTTTGCAGTTCGTTTATCCCGTAACCGAACAGTCAGTGATTTAGACTGCGAATGTCGAACGGAGTTCGATTGGGACCGGATACGCGATATTCGCTGGAACAATACTTTGTTGCGTGCCGCTGGATATGAGGGTGACGCATTGCAGGTCACACAACGCAAATCGGTGACACTGGAATTATTTCGATCCGCACGTATCTTAGGCTGCTAGAAAAAAAAGTTGGATAATTCAAACGCGATAGAACACAGTAACGAATGAATGAAGAGAAACAATGTCGCATGAGCTATAAGTTGAAACTATTTTCTAATTTTACGCGACACTTGTGCTCGTTTCTGATGAAAGCATGTGGCCCGGTGAGAGGAGATTAGAAAAACAAGGACAAAAACGGTGACGAAAAGTGCAATTTAGATGAGAAAATTCAAACGCAACATAGGTTGGCATTGGTGACTGCAGACGAAAATAGGTTAATCCGGCATTTACTGAGTGCGACGATTCAAAATCAAATTATGGCTCGCTTTGCAGATACTC